CTTGTTTGGTTTGGAGTTTACTCATTTTTTCTAAATTCCCAGTTGCATGCCTGTGTAAATGGTACAAAGATTATCAGGGGCAGTGTTAAAGATATAGTCCATCATTTGTAATTTGTGCATTTTGTTCGTTAAAAGCAACAAAAGTGCTCAAAATCTCATGAAAGATACTAAACAACTACATGTAACCTGATGAAGTTTCAGCTCAGCTTCAGCTGTATATTCCGAGAAAAATAGCATTCTACGATCTCAATTTCAAATCAAAAGTTGCTGAATCATGTTTTGAATTCGTTTTGAATTGTAGCTATACGCGATGTCGCGCACTGATCCGACGAATTATAGCAACCGCGTGCGCCTATGCGTCATTCCAATGCTTGCGCGCGCTGCGCCGAATAACAAAACGAACTACTTATTTACATTTTCCTACGGTGCGCCTTAAGACGCACCGTTGGAAAGGCCTTCTTTCGTTGATTACATGTACTTCAAAATGACAGCTTGCCAGAAAGATTAATTTCACAGGGAGTTTAGTCCACAAGTTTACTATCTTTCAACCAAGTATGTTTTTCAACACTAATACGCCAGTTACTTTTTCGGATGGCTGCAAATGATGGACTTTATAGCTTTAATTTTTTTCTAAATTCCCAGTCGAATGCCTGTGTAAATGGTACAAAGATTATCAGGGGCAGAGTTAAAATCTATTAACCTAACCGCCCTGAATCCTCCAAAATCATTTTTGCAAATTGGAGGAATTTGCAGGATTGAGGTTACATGGCAAAAGTGCGTCGGAGTACGCAATGTGTCAAGGTCTTGGGCCGGACCTTGTGTTGTTTATGCTCAGCCGTGCACACATTTAGTCCTTGATTATACTCGACATCCTCCACACTGCTCCAGGATGTCACTGCCTCTGCCTCAGCCTATCGACAGTCATCATGGTCATACATGTAGCTGGAGGATTTTGCAGGATTCAGGCAGTGGTCACCCCTCCATTGACCATATTCAAGAAATAACGGAGGAATTTGCAGGATTGAGGCTACATGTACATGTGCTATTTTTCCATGAGGCCAATTGGAGGATTTTGCAGGATTGAGTACATCCTACGTACATCCTAGCAAAAAGGCCTAGGGAGTTAGGGTTAAAGTCCATGAGATGAACTTCATTTTGTGCAACTTTCTATCATCAGCGACACCATGAAGTAACGCCCAAGTGGACTTGAGTGCCCATATTTTACAGAACCGACTGATTTTCTTTTTCACAACGTTTACACTCATACATGTACCGGTACACTGTGCGCCCAATCAGTCATTTTTGTTTTCACGAAGTAACACTCATCTTTATTTCACCAGTTTGGAGGCTTTTTATTAAAATTTTCTGTAATCCTACAAGAATACGGATTAACCCTAACTATCCCAAATCCTCCAAAATCCTTTTTGCAAATTGGAGGAATTTGCAGGATTGAGGTTACATGGCAAAAGTGTGTTGCTGATTTCAGAGGATGCACTGTGTCAAGGTCTTGGGCCGGACCTTGTGTTGTTTATGCTCAGCCTAGCATAAATTTAGTCCTTGATTATGCTTGAAATCCTCCGCACTGCTCCAGGATGTCACTGCCTCTGCCTCAGCCTATTGACAGTCATAGCCGGAGGATTTTGCAGGATTCAGGCAGTGGTCACCCCTCCATTGACCATATTCAAGAAATAACGGAGGAATTTGCAGGATTGAGGCTACATGTGCTATTTTTCCATGAGGCCAATTGGAGGATTTTGCAGGATTTAGGCTACATCCTAGCAAAAAGGCCTAGGGAGTTAGGGTTAATTACATTCCTGTCAAACGATTTAGACTTTGTGAAACCAACATTTGTGGCGATTTTCACAAAGTAACACTGAAGTGGACTTGCGTCAGTGGGTGTTACTTCATGGTGTCAGTGACGAAATGTATGAGAATTATTTGACTTCCTTTTTGGGTTAATTTTATTGAAAAAAAAGTGCACTTTTTTAAACATTTCAAACTTTCCACGCTCTTTCCGACAACTGAGGGTGCCATTGCTGTGATGTCATTTCAGGAAGACACTGTTTAGTTTATGGGTTTTCTGCTCAAATTGGGAACCCAAACATGTATGACATGCCATGTACATGACACAACAATGAATCACCAAAGAAAAGACAATTTACGACAGAAAAATATCCAAAATTCTGCCAAAGTTTGGTGCTGCAATAGCTGTAACATTGCCTGAAAAGACATTTTATTTCTTTCTGGTAATGAAACCAAGGGTCCCTCAAAAGTGCCTTAAGCACTGTAGCCCAGAAGCCTGAAGAAACCTGTAGAGAGAAGACAATGAGAAGAAATTACAGTTTTAGAGGTGGGAGGAAAAGCCCAGAGGAATATTCTGAGGAAAACCCACGGAATCAGGTATAGGGACTGAAAACCCAATCCACATATTGGCCCAGGCGGGATTGGAACCCGGGTCACAGCGATGGAAGGCGAGGAAAGTACCGCTACGCCAACCTGACTCCCCTGTCAAACGTTTTTTTCAAGGACTGCATTTTAAAATTTACATTGCATTTAACTGTTCACATCACACATTTGCTCATGAAATTGGAATTGACATAAAATTTAAAAAGGCACCAAAACACACTTGAAAATGACAAAATGAAAATTGGCAACAAGGTTACCATGGTTACATTAACATTGTAAATGGGACACAAAAGTGCGTTTTCAAGGACTGCATTTTAAAATTTACATTGCATTTAACTGTTCAAAATACATTGTACATTGCACATCGTACTGGTATGTACATGTACGGTAGTCTGAAATGAAGGATGGAGACTGCAGCTCAGTTTTTAAATCTCGGACAAATTTAAAACCATTAATTTCATACCTTGTGTACTATGTTTAAAAATGTATGTCTGTCCAAAAATAATAAACAAATAACTACCACATCCTTGTGATTCCTAATCCTGGAAATGGAATGAAGAAGATAAGGAATATCTGGCCCCTTGGAACATTTTTCATGGCATACAATGTAGCACCATCAATATATCGTTATTATTGGATTACCGGTATTCGATATTATTATTTATATCAGGCTTCCAAGTTCCAATGTTGAAAATACATGTAAATCAGCGCATTGTATGTTTTCGTAAAGAGTACCCGGATGACTGCAACATTACATGTATGTCAATAAAAGTACCCAGACATGCCAGATGACTGCAATAATATTACCAATCTTAAAGGGAAAATACAACATTTGCAAACATCAAAAAATAAAACTACCAAATCTTTTTAAAATACCTTGCTGGACTGTTACTGTTAGTGAATGACAGTGTAAAGCATCCTGTAAAATCATGGCACCTAGTATTCTGTTATTTTCAAGAAAAGTGGTATTTTTGTATCAATTTCCAACGCTGGTCGGCCGACCAGCATTGGAAAAAACTGGCTTTTTTCAAATACTGGCCCCAATAAGCCATTTGCGTGTTACCTATAACCTTTGGGATTTACATTTGAAAAACGTCTGGTACAATGACTTGCTCAGAATGCTTGGCACATTTTAACTGTGAATTCTCCAGACCACAGACACTGTTGCTAATCACATGATTCGGGGCAAGCTCTTGCGTAGTTACGTAAGAGACGCTCAGCACCAATACATCGTTCACAATGGGTGAGAATGGCACAAAGACACCAGACCATGCCGGAGCTGGGGGTTGCTAGCATAAGGCTTGCCCCGAATCACGTGATATAGTAACAGTCTCTTTGGTTGGGAGAATGCCAGGTTAAAACGTGCAAAGCATTGTATTAAGTCAGCGTTCCAGATTTTATTCAAATTTAACACGCAAATGGCTTATTGACCATCGCACTTGTTTGCAATCGATTACACACCTATGAACGGGTACAAGCCAGCTAGACTGGTTCCCTGACCTTACAATTCCCCATTGTATGTAAACTGCTCTATTTCTTCTTATATGGAGTCAGGGAACCAGACTACAGGAAAATTATTGTTTTTCTTGGTTTTTATAGCATTTTCGAACCCAAAACCTCCAAAATGTCAGTGTAACTATATTTGCTTTATATTTCCAACCCCCCAATTCCACCCATATCTGAAAATTACAGCAAAAGCAAATGATGTATACATTGTATTCCCTTTAATTCAGGATTTTTGCTTGTTTGTTACAAGATAAGAAAAATTGTTTCTATTACTTAGATAATTAAGTCTACATGTGTATGTAATTTATTCAGAAATGAGAACTTCCTTGAGATAATTTGTAAGTTACGTAAGTAAACATGGTAAATATAAAATGTTTATATCTCGGGCACAATAAATCCCGTGTCCTTGGCTTGTTCCAAATCAAAATAATCAAAATATAAAATGTTTGCTAGTTGTGCAACTCTGTAGAAATGAAACATACATGAAAAAGTTAAATGTAACATATAAAAACCCTGCTATTTTTGCAGATAGGTGAATCAGCTGAGTATAGTTCAGTATGTGGATACGATTATGGGAATTGAAATCTGAAAAATGTAGTGCACACATGTAGGCCTACTATTGTAATGTGGAAAGTAGTATTGTTGGGTATAAAAAATAAAATCTGAAAAATAACCAAAGCCATGTTGTGTTAATGTAATTTTTTACAGAGTTATCTACGGCATACATGCATAAGTGGCTTATCCATCTGGGGGTGTGTGTGTGTGTGGGGGGGGGGGGGTGTCAGGAATACTTATTCCCCCACCTCCCCTCCCCAACCCACCCCCACCCCCGTGACATTTTGTTCTTTGTTTTTGTTATGTTTCCAAAAATGAACATGCACGCACTTCACAACAACGTCCAACTGCTAACTTCCCCTGTGTTTGACCATTTCTATAAACAAAGAAAATCAAAATGGAGCACATTTTTAGATCAAGTACTCATTTAACCCCCCTCCCCCCCCCCCCCACCCTCTGGACTAAAACGCTCCATATGACAGGGGCACATTGCCATCAAGTTCATCCTCAAGTCTTCATCCATCTTTTCTCAGGATGTGGACGACCTGTTCAACAGTGATACAGCAGCCGGACAAGTCCATTCAGTGTGGGGAAGCACCGGCCACCTGTTTGTGTCCCTTAATGAGGGGCTGGCCCTGAAGGCATTCGACACAGCACCAGTTGATCAAAAGGTATGGCTGAGAAGTGCTACTTTCACGTTTCACACCCCCGTCCCCCCCCCCCCCCCAAAAAAAATATTATATTTTTTGAATTTTAAAGTGCTATTTAAAAATTGCTATTTGATAAAAACCAGGAATACCCTCACCTGTTTAGACCAGTTTTAGTTCATTTGAAGCCTGACCTCTCTTATGGGCTCCGTGCGCCAACAAAAGAGGGCGCATTTTTACCTCTTTTGGGAGGACGGGACACACAGCGTGCGCGTACTGTACTGTACTGGTTCGCGCGCGAAGTACGCACGGCTTTCTGAATGTGCAAAAGCTATAGCCACCGGGTCTTCACGTGAGCGCATCGACGGCGCGCGCAGCTGTTTGAATTCAACTTGCGATGGTCCCCGAGACTAATCTCCGCCTCCAATAACTTTGATACATTTGAAATACGCAGTGGATGGATCGGGAACCAGTCTAGGTCACCCCCAACTCTCCTTTTCTGGCCGTTGATGGGGTACTTGTGCACGGAGCCCATATTAAGGTTCTGATGTATGTTCTTGGCTTACCAAACAGACGACTGTCTTGCAGGACAGTTTCTCACGCGTTTCGTCACTCTAAGAAAAACTCCACAATACTCAAATGCTGTGTCTACACAATCATTAGTTCAAATCACTAACGTAGGCATCTGTCTAACTGTTATTCATGAAACGTGAGGCTTCAAACGTCTAACGTGAAACGGGAAACGGTAGAAAAACTGTTTCTTCGGCTCGTATACTCAAAACAACTGAATATTCAATTTGAAAATGCATTTACGCACGTCGTATACCAAAGAACTAACTACGCAGCGTATCACGTCTTCATCTGTACATGCGAGAGGCAGCGTTAAGCGCAAATCTTACACCCTCAATTAAAGAGGTTGTGGAATGCTCGAAGACATTTCCGTCATTTTTCGGGTATGTACATGTACATGTATGTAGCCTAAGGTGTGATGAACTAAAACCCACTTTTGTGTCTGTCATGAAATGAGTACAAAGGGTACTTTTTGAAAAATGTTTTTCAGGTCCTGTTTCGACCCGAACGTGCAATTTGTGTAAAATTTGTCGTTGGGGGCAGCAAACAAAACATAGTAAATCGTGACGTACGGTACTAAACAGGACTCCCGATGCAGCGTAGTATAAACGAGTCCTGTTTAGTACGTCGCGATTTAGTATGTTTTGTTTGCTGCCCCCCATGACGACTTTTACACAAATTGCACGTTCGGGTCGAAACAGGACCTGAAAAACAGCTCTCAAAAGTACCTTTTGTACTCATTTCATGACAGAAACAATAGTCGTTTTTATTTCATCACACCTTAGGCTACATATACGAAATGTCTTCGAGCATTCCACAACCTCTTTAAATCAGTCTCACTTCCCCCTTGGTGAACCCACAAAGAAGTAGAAGCCAGTGCATCTGGTACTGTACAATTCTAATGTTTCATCCCAGGTACAGAAAGGGAAACGTGCCCTCGCTGTTCATCAGACGGCATCTGAAATCATAGATGTCTGTGCCTTGAAGAAAAAGAATGCCCCAGTCTACATTGTAAGTGTCTATAACATGTGTTTCCAATACAGTCGAGTCTCGTTAATACAAACCCATTCGGACCTAGCCAAATTGTTTATGTCAGAATTTTGTATTAAAAGGAACATCAGTCCCCTTCATTGTGCACATAAATGCACAGTCGGGACCAAGGCTTTATGTTTGATATAACCAGAATTTGGTATAAACAGAGTTGGTACTAACGAGAGTCGACTGTACTGCCTGTTTTCAACGCACGTGTGGCATGTGTGGAAAGAGTTAGTTTTCATGATTCCCTTCTTCGTCGCATTGCACCACAATCTTATGTGATTGTTTTAATTTTTTTTGGCTGGTCTGAGAAAACCATCCCACAGTCATGACAGTACTACTACCGGTACCTGCAGAACTGCAGTACCGTTCATGCTTAGAAATACACGTCATGCATAATATGGGAAATTTCATGTACATGTATACTGGTGCCAGCAATTTTGTGTTTAGGAAATGAACAGATCAACACATCAGAAACGGAAGTCTAGATTTCTATTTCTAATTTATGCTGGCACAAGCATTTATTTACTCTAACTCCTTGGGCTCTTTTACTAGAAAGTGTCCCGAATCCGCCAAAATCCATCAATTTTGCCATGCGAAAAACTGTTGGTGGCCAGTGTGTCCATCAGAATCCCCCAGGTTGCTGGGAGTTACCGGTAATCTATTGAGATCCTGAATTTGCCAAAGTCCCCCAACAGCTCAATATAGAGGTATCCTGAATCCATCAAAATCCTGCTGTTCCGCTAGGGTTCCAATCCTGAATCCATCAAAATCCCCAGTTTGTGCAATATGGAGGTATCCTGAATCCGCCGAAATCCCCCGAAACAGGGGTGTGGATTTTGATGGATTCAGGTACTTTAGGGTTAATACTGGCTACCATTCATGCCATTACTATTGAAAATCTACTCTGTATAATTACACCTATTGTGCTTGAATGTCTTGGACAGTTAAAAAAAAAATTGGAAAAAAGGAAGCATATGAGAACATTGGGGTTTTTTTTTCTGTACTTCTGAGAATGTCTTTTGAATCTCTGGCAGAAGCTTCTACATGTCACTTCGTGGTCGGTCGGTTGGTCTGTCCCCGGAAAATTGACCAAAAACGGGCCCCCTAATAACTTCCCATAAAATATAAAGTACCAATTGACCAAAAATTGACCAAATGCAATGCCGTCATCAGTAAATGCACTCTTGGTGAAAGCTTTCGGAACAGGCCCTAAGCTTGGTCTGGATCGATGCGCATGTGCGTCTATTTTGAATGTGAAGTGAAACATTCAGAAACCAGGCCAGAGCTTATTGTGCACTCGCACTTGTTCATTTCTAGCGGTATCTGAAGGCAATGTGAAGTTCACCATATGACTTCCCAAGCTACAAAATAAACTTGTTTAAGTCCATGGTCCAGGAGTACAAAGGTATTATGAAGTGGTCCCCAAAGAGAATTTGTGTACTTGCCCTATCTGATAAAAACTCAGAACAACTGGGGTCAATCAATATGCAAACTTAGACCCTGATCCAGGATTTATAAACCGACCTTGTCAATTCCTGTTAAACCCAACCTCACTAGTACATTTTTTTCTCCAATTTTTAATTGTTAAAAAGAATTTCCTGAGTTGAAAAAAATTCCATCTAGTGACTTGTATATGTTTATGAGCCTACCGGTATTGCCTGTGTAGTCACTTAATCCACAGGCTGTACTTGCTGCACATGCGCAGTGTGAGACATCCGCTAGTCTTTGCATGTGGGCAACATTTCACCAACATACTCTGGCGTTACGGTGGCATAAAATGTCCGAAATTTCTATCGTGAGTTTTCCCAAAGTTAAACCCCACAAATGTATACTCAAAACAAGTTCCCAATAAAACTTACCACATAATCAACCGGGCTACATTTTTTTTATTTAGGAATATTCCTTGGCTTTTCAATCATATGGCATAAGGAGCAAATCAATAATTGTGAATAGAAAAAAAAATGTATCACCTGCAAGGGAACATTGACATTGCTGACTTCACTTCCATAGGTCTCACTTTAATATTCCTAAAAACTCAGATTTTTACTGGAAAAAAAATAAATATCGTAATCAACAAAAATCACTGCTTATGAAAAGACTACTAAGTCATTTGAAAATGGAGCATCAATAGACCTATTGAAACAAAAATTAGAGTAAGAAAAGACTGACTATGTCATGCTGCGTTTAAACCTTAATAGAGGGACAAAGGCTGATGTACATCGTTCATGTAAAGGCAATTCATAAATACCTCAGACAGTTTAGCCATTCCTATTGGTCGAGAGCCCGTCACGTGGCCGGTCTTAAACGGATGATAAAGACATGGCTAGCTTTTCCTGTGTCACATAAAATGTGGACTCCTAAAAATCCAGTGCCTCTTACCGTTTCATTGGTTGAACATTCACAATCCTCACGTAGGCATGCGCAACACTACCAGTGATTCCGAATTTTATAGTTCTAAATTCAAAACGCAACGCCCCAGGTGCGTTCTGCGCGACATTGCGCAGAATGTGCTACGCGCGCGTCAATCTCCATAACAGGGTTGTTTACATCTTACTCGCCAGCTGAACACTCCATTATTTTGCTAGAGGGATGTTTCAAAAAGCTGTAGTGAAATTGTTGATCAAAATCGGGATTTTTTGAACGAATTACGTGATTTTTTTTTACCGAAAAGGTATTTATGAATGGGAATAAATATGTGCTCGGTCGGTATTAATCACTCTGTTTAAGACTGCTTAGAGTCTGGGTGCTGATAATTACCCTCGCCTCCAGCTCGGGTAATTATCAGCACCCAGACTCTAAGCAGTCTTAAACAGAGTGATTAAAACCTCTCGAGCACACATTTATTCCCTTAATAAGTACTAGGTGTTGCCACGTATGTTTGTGCCTGCCATTTGGTTTGTCTATTGTGCCCAGCTATCCCACTAGATGCCAATGAAAGTAAAAAAAAAAAAAAAAAGCCGCTTCGCCGCACCACTTTTGGGGCAAGCTCCAAACCAGAAACTGTAGACTTTTTTTTTGGCCTGATCCTCTGTTATTTCTTGAATGTGGTCCTAGCTTGGAGGGGTGATGACCAATACATCAATCCTGCAAAATCCTCCAGAAATCACTTTCAATACAGATGAGACAGAGCCAGTTACATCCTGGAGCAGTCATGGCAGTGCGGAGGATTTCAAGTATAATCTACAATGTAGGCCTAAATTTATGCACGGCTGAGCATCTATTATAAAGAACACAAGGTCCGGCCCAAGACCTTGGCACAGTGCATCCTCCAAAATCAGCCGCACAATTTTGCCATAGCCTCAATCCTGCAAAATCCTCCATTTTGCAAAGAGGATTTTGGAGGATTTGGCAACGTATTTTTTTAGCTGGTAATAAAGGGACTAGCTGAGTTGTGTTTAGGAGCGGTTTGTAATTTGGCCCTCAAAATTTTCAGGCTCACAGAAATGGCACTCTCAAAGCGTGGTCGTACTCTGACAGCGGCGGTTGGGTGCATCTGGGCAACATCAGCCTGTGTGTCAAGCAACAGGCAGAGCTGCACACCGTCACTATTGATGAGGGCAGAGGTCGTGTGATCTGGGTCGAAGGTCAATTGCGTAGCAACCAAGATGGCTGCCACTACAGCATCTGCACCAGAACAATGACATTTGGTGAGTCGAGGCAGAAAACATGCTCAATGAAATACGTGCATTAGGTTTTTCATTCAGCTGTGATTTATTTTTCTGTGGATGATGTTGTGTTTTACTATACCCCCGAGGACAATGCTTTGTGTTTCCCTTTGTCCCTGTAATATAACACTCTCCCATAGACTAAGCACATAACCATACGTTCAAGGACCATTTTCAACTGAAGACCCAACGCCCGAGGACGGAAAAGATCTGTTGTTCTCCCTTTGTGTGTCTCGGTCCTTGGGGTTAAATGTAGTACATGGAGACGTATTCCTACTACGTGTAAAAAAAAAACATGTTCTACTTTTGATCCTAAATAACTTTGTTGTTTACTAATGGAATCAAACCAAAATTTTAGATCATGTGAACAGGCCATGACAAATTTTATGGAGTAACTTTCATCACCTTTGTGCAAGATGCTGAGATTTAAAGGGGCACTAGGTCCTGAAATCCCTGAAAATGTTATGTTTTGGATTTTTTACTTAGCCTATTTCGAACATCTGGTTGAAAGGAAACCAACCTTATGTCTTACCGTTCCCGAGAAAAGAAAAAAAAAACCCGCTTGTTTACATCATACATGACGGAGTACAGATATGTTTTTCGTGTCATTCTCAGTGTGCGATATACACGTTGTGTGTCTCGGGAACAGTGGTGACCAATCACCAAAGCAAAAAAAAAATGGTTTCTTCAACGTCTGCAAAAGGCGAACACTTTACGAATGAAATCACAACTAGCATCCAAACAACTCGAATTTATGGGGTCGCAAAAGTGGACCCCGAAATTCATTCTCGCACGCATAATACAGGAATAACACAAAAATTGCCCAGTTTTGAAAGGATAGTTGTGTGAATGTTTATATCCTACTTTTAAATGTTCTTTCCGATTAACATCATCTTGTTCAAAGCGCGCTTTGTAGCCCAATTGGGCTGTTCCAGGACCCAGTGTGCCTTTAAACGCCATCCGAAAAAAAAATCAGTCTTTGGCTGTGTTTCATTTCTTAATTTTTGTACTTGCTTGCAGAGTCCACGGATGTTAAGCACAGCGTCGGGCCAGCACTGACGCTGCTGCAGAACTGCCCGAAGTGTGCCCTCTATTGTTCCCCTCTTGCGGTCAACATTTGGCCCAGGTACTATATGTATTTTTTGTGGTATATGTACAAGGGTATTACCTTTTTAAAAAAAACAAACAACACATTCCAATGTCAGGCCGATGTGTGCGAGGCGGGTACAAAAATGGAACGCATATCTCCAGAAATATCAGTAACCTGCATTAACCCTAACCCCTAGGCCCTTGTTGCTTACAACCATCCTCAATCCTCCAAAATCCTCCAAAATGTTGCAACTCCGCCTAAATTTTTCAAAATTGTCAGACAGTCCTGCCTCAAAATGCATTCATCCTCAATCCTCCAAAATCCTCCTCATCCCAAAATTTTGCACTCGTGTTTAAATGAAGGATAAACCAACGCCAAATCCTTCAAAATCATCAGACAGTCCTGCCTCAAAATGCATTCATCCTCAATCCTCCAAAATCCTCTTGTGCTTCAATCACCATTCATCCTCAATCCTCCAAAATCCTCCTGTGCTTCAATCACCATTCATCCTCAATCCTCCAGAATCCTCATTTGATTCAATCACCATTCATCCTCAATCCTCAAGAATCCTCCAAAACCGCCAGGAGGATTTTGGAGGAGTGAGGTGGGTTAGGGTTAATGTAGAACCCATGATATATGACCAAAATGCAGTATGATTGGTAAAATCTGTTCCGCTTTTAGAAATGTGATCAGAAGATGTGAAAGCTGTTCAAAAATGTGTGTTTCACACATTTTTTTTTAGTGTGAGGAGAGGACACTTTTTTACCCTAACCCTGCTAGACGCAACACAGTGCATCAGGTGGAAAAGTCTGGTGCACTTGGATGCATTCAGCTACCAACACCAGTGCCAGAAACTGCCACTTCTGAGATGATATTCCCATTGAACAATATGTCACAGTTGTACATGTATGAGACTTTTGGCCTGACTGCCTGATGGATCTTGCTCCACTGGGCAGGCTTGTCACTTAGACAAATGCATGTTGCTGCATTGAGCAGGGTTTCTAGCCAAAATACCCTGGAGGGTTAGAGTTAAAGATCAGTCACATCAACTGTTGAAGATTATATATACCCTGTGTAGCGTGAATATCCGACTCCATGAAATGTGGACTCATTGGTAGTACTGCGCACGCGTGAGTACGATACTATGCTATTTTTAGGATCGTTTGGGGAGAGTGACCTGTCACGTGCGAGGGATTAACCAATAAAAGGGGAAAAGGGGTCCGATTTTCATAGGAGTCGGATTTTCATGTGACACTGGTATTTGAGACAATCTACAACATCGAAAATTTAAAAATTGAGAGTTTCAGCTATGAAAAAAACTATAAGTTAAAAAGTTGCACCTCCCCTTCAGCTTCTGCCAAAAGCCAGGGTGTAAAATAGCGTCAATGAGAGCCGCAAACAGAAAAGGCCCGTTTGCTTACATTATGGTACAGCTATACATGTATATCATGTCCACAAAAATCAAAGCTGCTCGGCCTGTATTGGTTTCCACGGCATTAAATAAACACGATGTGTGGATGCCTCTTTTGCCATTGAATTCTCAAGCTTCCCAACATTTTATGAATTTTGCCTTGAAAAGGATCTCTGTGTACCCAGTGAATTATTTGAAGCATATTTCAATCATATCTTTTAGTTTTCCTATCTTTACTGAAAGTTTAATAATATTTTATATCCCAATAGACGGCACATGGGATTGCTTTTTCATAAGTTTTGGACCGTTTTCATTTTTCAAGTATTGAAATTATTATTATTTTCTTTGTTTTGTGTACATTTTATCATGGAGGCTGTTTTTCTTATACCGTAGTGACCCCTGTCCAAAGGGACTGTACTTCACTTGGCACTCGGACGCCTACCTTCTCAAGAACCAGCTGGATACACACATTCTGGGCCATGGCCGTTGCTTGTCTGAGGACCGGGCCAGTGCCGCGGTCGACTTCAAGACTGCTGCGTCTAAGCTGCGGCATATCTGGGCACGGGTAAGGTTTGTCGTCAGAGGTACGGGAGTTAAAGCTACAGTCCATCATTTGCAGCCATCCGAAAAAGTAACTGGCGAATTGTTGTTGAAAAACATACATGGTTGAAAGATAGTAAGGGGACTAAACTCCCTGTGAAATTATTCTTTCTGGCAAGCTGTCATTTTAAAGTAATCAACGAAAGAAGGCCTTTCCAACGGTGCGTCTTCAGACGCACCGTAGGAAACTTTAAATTAGTAGTTCGTTTTGTTGTTATTCGGCGCAGCGCGTGCCCTCATTGCCACGACGCACAGGCGCGCGCGGTTGCTATAATTCGTCGGATCAGTGCGCGACATCGCGTATAGCTGCAATTCAAAACAATTCAAAATATCATTCAGCAACTTTTGATTTAAAATTGAGATCCTAGAATGCTGTTTTTCTCGGAATATACAGCTGAAGCTGAGCTGAAACTTCATCAGGTTAGTTGTTTAGTATCCTTCATTAGAGTTTGAACACTTTTGTTGCTAATTCAAACGAACAAAATAACAAATTACAAATGATGGACTATATCTTTAAAAAAAAAAACAGGCTGGAAAAATTGGAATTGAACGTTGCTAGCAATGCTCCTAACCCTAAACCCTCCTCAGTCCTTCAAAATCCTCCTGGTGGTTTTGGAGGATTTTGGAGCATTGAGGATGAATGGCGTTGAAGCACATGAGGATTTTGGAGGATGGTGTTTGAAGAAGAGGAGGATCTTGGAGGATTGAGGATGAATGGTGTTGAAGCACTTGAGGATTTTGGAGGATGAATCCAGGTGTTTTAACACGAGGATTTTGGAGGATCGAGGATGAATGGTGTTTGAAGAAGAGGAGGATTTTGGAGGATTGAGTATGAATGGTGTTGAAGCACATGAGGATTTTGGAGGATGAATGGTGTTTTAACACGAGGATTTTGGAGGATCGAGGATGAATGGTGTTTGAAGAAGAGGAGGATCTTGGAGGATTGAGGATGAATGGTGTTGAAGCACATGAGGATTTTGGAGGATGAATGGTGTTTTAAAACGAGGATTTTGGAGGATCGAGGATGAATGGTGTTTGAAGAAGAGGAGGATTTTGGAGGATTGAAGATGAATGCATTTTGAGAGGCAGGACTGTCACGGTGTGACGATTTTGAAGGATTGATGAGGCACTGGGTATCCTTCAGTTGAGCATAAAAAGTGCCAAATTTTGGAGGATTTTGGAGGATTGAGAACATTTCCCAGCAAACAGAGCCTAGGGGGTTAGGGGTAATCCCTAACTCTCCTCAATCTTCCAAATGTGGCAATCTTTGGGTAGGGGGACTTCAGATGATTTGAGACACTTGAGGTCAAAGGTCATGTAGGGCTCAAATGAGGTCATTGTTGATTTGGTTAGGTCAACTGAAAAGTGCCGTCACATGAAAAGTCAGACTTCACTCTCAACAAAACTTGGTGGCAATCATCTTTGCGTAGGGGGACGTTAGGGTGCAGATCAGTAAATTGGTCCGAAATTGCCTACGCCGGCCAAATCACGATTTGCATGCCCTCAAAATCTTCAGTATTTGAGCATGCTGTGGGCCATGAACTTGAGGGTTTGTAAAAACTATGGGTGGAAGCCGTGCACAGGACTGGGAGCTTGCAGTTCTGTGTAATTTGGATGTAATTTGGACCCTAAAAGCGCTCTATTTTGCAATGGAGTTGCAAGGCATCTTTTTTCAAAATGGCGATGGGCTTCAGGACTATTTTCAGGGGTGATCATCTACAGATGGAAATTTCTCCTAAAAGTCATCAGTTGAACCCCCGAAAATTGAAAAGAAAATGAAAGATGATGAAATAAGCTTTAATTTGATGTGTGTCTCGAACACCTTGGAGAGTTGTGAGTATTTTTCCCGAATTTCTGAAGTAGGAGCATTTACCATTGGGGTCTATGGAAGTTTATTTACTGGTCTGCTACCTATAATGACTTGAGACATTTGAGGTTAAAGGTCATCTAGGGGTCAAATGAGGTCGTTGCTGATTTTGGTTAGGTAAACTGAATATTGTGCGTACTAACTGACTGTATTAATACTGCCAGCATGCCAGGGGGATCGCGCAAGTTAAACTTGCAGTATTTTTTTTTGCTTTTGCAGAAATCCACTCAGCCAGAACTGCAAGTGGTTGCTAAGGCCTGCCATCTGTCCACCGGTGTGTTGTTTCTTGTCTCCAGTAATGGACATGTGCACATGCTCAGTGGAGCTGAAGGTACAAAGGTCAAGCAACTCAATAATAACAAAAACATTTTGAAGCTGCAGAAAGAAAGTTGTAAAAGTCTTCTGTTAAACCTTTGATAATGACTTTAATATCAGCTATACATCAAAATTGTCTCCAATTTTCTGCCGCATTTTGATGAATTCAAAAGTGAAGAGACTACATGAGTTTCCATTACTTTATTGTTTCGTCCTATTTTGGCTAAAAGACAGGCATACAAAAAGAAAACAATAAATCTGACATTTCTGTCCAGCAGCTGATTTCTGAGAAACAGTGCGTAACCTACACCATGTGTAGAACTTACGCAACAATTTTTGTGTGCAGCTGCGCAATAAACTTACGATCGATTTCACAAAAGTTGGCATATAGCTGCGTAACATTTCCAATAAATCTAAACACCATGGACGAGGATAATAACAGCGTTTGTGTATCTGTTTTTGTACGATTTTGTTCGTTCATGAAACAGTCGTTGAATCATGTACCTCTGACCGCCATTTTGAAAATGTTTTAGTTCAACTTTCTTTGGAATTGACGGCAACTCTCAAAATTCTGTCACGAGTAATATAGCAATTCTTTTACTTCAAACAATAAAGCTGTAAGTGTCTTGTATCAACCTGGATAAAGGTGTGAACTAAACAGGATCCACAGTGATCACCATTTGCTGGTAAAACAGGCCATTTTTAGTCGTTACGCCACAACTTACGCCACCTAAAATGATTGCACAAGTTAAAGGGAATGTACAACATTTGCTTTTACTGCAATTTTCAGAAATAAATGGATTTGGAGGATTAGTATGTTATAACAAATATTGTTAAACTGACTTGCTTCATGTTTTGGGTTCGTAGATTTTTGAAAATCCAAGAAAACCAACCATATTCTTGTAGTCGGGCTCCCTGACCCCACTTAAGATGAAACGGAGCAATTTATAGACTTTGGGAAATTGTTAGGTCAGAGAATCGGTCTAGCAGGCTTGTACCCCTTCACAGGTGTGTAATCAATTGCAAAGAAAATGCGGAATAACTAAATATGAAAAACTAGGAGCTTTTTTTGAAAAAAAAAACCAGTTTTCTCTAACGATTGGTCGGCCGACCAGTGCTGGAAAAGATACCATTTTTCTTGAAAATGTCAGCACACCAGGAGCCACGATTTTACAGGATGCTTTGGACTGTCATTCCCTAACAATCCAGTAAGATATTTCGTGATAATTTGATCATTTCGTTTTTTGATGTTTGCAAATGTTGTATCTTCCCTTTAAGCTAAAATTTGTTGCACAAGTAGCGGACTTGCGCACTATGAAACTTTCATGAAGTTGTCATATTAAACTGAAATGTTGCGCAGTGTGAAATGTTATGCAACTTACGCTATAAGTTATGGTGCAAGTGGAGTTAGGCCATTGCAAAGTTTTGTGAAATTGGCTGCAGGACATAATTTTATATATTAAATGCAGGAGCTGCTGTCTAACAGAGAAAATGTTTGCGGTAATTTTGTTGTTCTCAGAGTCACTGAATGCGTTGAAGCTACCTGCCTCTGTGAATGTTGCTGATAGTACCGGCTGGTTTGCGTACAGATTTGTCCTTGGAGCTCTGTTTAGAGATCATGTGATCAGGTACAAATTTTTACATTTAATCCAGTTTTTTATTTCAGTTCTTTGAAATACGCCAACACATTAGATTTTAAAGTTCTAAATTCAGAACACCACCGTAAGTTCTCTAGTAATGCTTGTTTACTGTCATCCTAGGCCAAGTTCGGGCAAGGACCATTAGTCGACTAGTGGTTGATTTGTGAGGTACCTTACGCCTGCGCACTAATAGCAAAGTGCGAACGTTTCTAGTCGAACGCTGGTCAAAATGTCATTGCAAAACGTCTGGATCCTGGCTCCCTGCTGTACGTTATGAACGCGCGCGGCTGTGGTTACCAGCGAAGCAACCAACCCCAGAAGGTTGGTTCCAAATAGTCGACTAGTGTAGTTAATCATCGTCGACTAGACAGAGTTCGGGCAAGCATTAGTCGACTAATGGTCAACTATAGTCCTTGCGCGAAGTTGCCCCTAACCTTGGAAACCATTGGTCAGGCCATGGTGGGGTGCTGTGGTCCAGTGGTCACAGTGTTTGACTCATGTGCCGTGGTACGTGGGTTCGAATCCTGACCGCGGGAACATGGTGCTTGTGCTCTTGAGCAAGGCACTTTACCATTATTGCTTCGTCCTTCGGATGGGCCGTAAAGCCGTAATTCCCGTGTGTTAATTGTGTAATGCACGTTAAAGAACCCAGTAACACTTGTCGCTAAGAGAAGGGGTTTGCCCCTGTGTTTCTGGCAGTGGCTGCAATATGCGCCGCAGCACCTTGTAAACCCTAATAAGGTGCTACATAATGGGTCTCATATTTCTCATAAACTTACCTGTCTTCAATAATAGACATAATTTCCAGCGCCTTGAGTACCTAATTGGTGGTAGATATGTGCGCTTTATAAGACTACGGTATTGTAAGTCATAGCAGACTTTTGTAAAGTTGAAATCTCAACTTCCAGCTTGCAAGGACTGGGGATATATTTCCCAAAGATTAAGAAGTCCAAAGTGTTTTACTCAGTTACACATATTCCTCCGAAACATTTTGGTCCAAATTAAAGCTGGTCCCAGAGAGCCAGTCGTCATACATGTCATACCTGACGGACGATGGCCTGTCCCTTGTGACTTTACTGCTGGCTAGTGAAGATAGTTGGGCAGTGCTATCTTGTAGGATTACCTGGTAACGTTGGTTATAATGGAAATATTTGTTTATTCTCTCTCTGGGTACCGACATACACGTACAACTGCCCTTTAATGCCACAGCAGCTGCCTGATGTCACATCAACTATAATAAAAAAAAATACAGAAAAGAAGTAAATAATAAGTGTATAATGAACAGCCAAAATTAGTATAACATAGAGCACGGAACAAAGTCCCAAAAGTAAGGTAGTATGGAACTCCACCCCAAGAGGGCGCTGTTGCCTAAAACGGCAACGTACGTTACGAACTGACCCCCTATGAAAATGAAATCTATCCAAAATCACTCCAAATTTACAACAGATGTTCAGCCTACGAGTTGGAATAATTAGATAAAGTTGTGATAATGATTGTGCAAGGGACTGGGCCAAGATGTGGGCAAAAGTTATGCCCGAGTCTAACAAAGTGTCACGATACAAGCATACAATAAAATGCACTACCTTTATAACTGACAATAAAACCCATCCCTTGACAAAACATCGCCTATTTTTACCTCCCAAATTTCCCTTTTAAATCTTCAACACTACAAAAAAGTCCACTATATACAGAGCATTCAGAAAACCCAAGGAATCTCCTTACCGCTGGTTTGGGATCCAGGGCCCTATAAACCTCGACGAACTAAAATGATTTCTTCCAGTAAGTTCTATGAAACTGATAAACGTGGTTTTTGCGATCCCTTTACTTCCGGGTATCTAGCGCCCTCTGTTGAATGTCACATATGCGAAATCCATCCCAAAACACTTGTAATTGGCAAAATAAAGCACAGTCTGTAGATCAGATACATAAAAGTGCTTCCAGTGAACAGCCATTCTAAATCAATTTATTGGTATTGTGTGCCCTCTGGCAACAGCTTTACTGGCCTTTCCTTGTTTTGTTATGTACAGTTAAAAGATGACATGTTTGGTAATCTCTTGGCCCGCAGGTTAATGAGTAACACGTCAGGCGATTTGCTGCAGGAGTTGGACTTATCGACGGTCTTCGCAGACGCCGGCTTCAAGCTGTGGAGCATCATGGGAATGATACCAAGAATCGGATTCTGGAGTTCAGAGGGAATATGGGTTCTTCAAGTATGATGCCATTTTTTTTCGGGGTAGAGGGTAGAGGGAGCGAGGGAGGGGTGGTAATGGTAAACGTCAAGGGGGGACGAACCTGTGCTCACAGGAATGGAGTGCCCGTTTCTCTTTCGAAGCGATTGGGCCAGACTGGAGTGCATGAAATGTTGTTGTGGGGGGATTGCCACACCTCCTCCACAGCGAGTCTGTTACCTTCCCAACACTGAATACTGCTGGTACCCATTTAACACCTGGGTTGAGAGGAGTAATTGAGGTAAAGCGCCTTACTCAAGGGCACAACTCGCATGGCCACGACGATTTATAGGTTAGCCACTTTTTGATGTGACCATGGCAGGAAACTGTTGAGCAACTTGGTGGCATACCAATTAGCATCTTTTGGTTGTTTTCAACATACCGGTACCTCTTAAGTAAAAGTAAAGTCTGTCACTAGCCAATGTGGCACATCAGGCCGGCGTTTATCTTCGGTTTTCAGTGGCATGAAACGACTGAAAATATGTCTATTCCCCCTGGATGGGATGCCAGTCCATCGCAGGTTACTCCCCAGCTAATGCCGGTACCCATTTATACTCCTGGGTGGAGAGAGGCAAGTGGGGTGAAGTGGCTTGCCCAAGGACACAACATATATCCAGCAGCTGGATTTGAAGCCTTGACTCTCTGATCAGGAGTTACGAACCCTACAGGTCGGCCTTTATCTCCGGTTTCCTTGGCATGAAACGATTGAGAATATTTCTTATATTTCTGTTGTTCCTGGAGGGAATGCCATCGCAGGTTCCTCCCCAGCTAATGCCGGTACCCATTTATACTCCTGGGTGGAGAGAGGCAAGTGGGGTGAAGTGGCTTGCCCAAGGACACAACATATATCCAGCAGCTGGATTTGAAGCCTTGACTCTCTGATCAGGAGTTACGAACCCTACAGGTCGGCCTTTATCTCCGGTTTCCTTGGCATGAAACGATTGAGAATATTTCTTATATTTCTGTTGTTCCTGGAGGGAATGCCATCGCAGGTTCCTCCCCAGCTAATGCCGGTACCCATTTATACTCCTGGGTGGAGAGAGGCAAGTGGGGGTGAAGTGGCTTGCCCAAGGACACAACATATATCCAGCAGCTGGATTCAAACTCCTGACCCTCCGATCAGGAGTTACGAACCCTAACCGCTATGCCACACTCCCCATATACCTCTTAGAGGGAATATACAACATTTGCAAACTTCGAAAAATAAAACTACCAAGTTTTTACAAAATACCTTACTAGGATGTTGGTAAATGACAGTCCAAAGCGTCCTGTAAAATTATGGCACATGGTGTAAAGTCATTTTCAAGACAATGGTATTTTTGTATACATTTCCAACGGTGGTCGGCCGACCACCGTTGGAAAAACCTAACTATTTTTCAACTACTGCTCCAAATTTACCTCTTTTTTTTTCAGTCCAAATTGTGTTTGCTATTGGTTAGATGTTCAAGAACGGGTGCACTGGCCAGCTTCACTGGTTCCCTTACCTTACAATTTTCCGGCATCTATAAATTGATCGATTTTATCCTCAGTGGAGTCAGGGAACCAGACTACTGGAACAATTGTGTTTTTCTTGGTTTTTCCAGCATTTTAGATCACAAAACTTCAAACATGTCAGTCATGTCAGTGTAAAACAATATTTGACCTCGCCTATTGTACTAACCCCTTAAATAGTTCATTTCTGAAAATTACAGCAAAAACCAATGATGTACATTTCCTTTAAAGATAGTGCAAAACTTTAAGTTTTTGTAAAACTCGGCCCCTTTACCAAGCTCTTAATCTCATTTTTTGAACAGATGGATAATATCGAGAATGTGGCATCAGCAATGAGCTCCCCAGAAGCCGCCTCAACCCTGCGCGATTTCAGCGAGGATAGACTGGCTGCGCGGACTGCTCTCCAGGGGGCCTATGAGGCTTACTCCGGCCGGAGTAACGACGAGGGGCGAGGCAAGGGAGTGGCTGTCCCTCAGCAGGGGTTTCAGAATCCTGGCCTCATGGTGTCTGTACTCCAGGTGGGCTTTTTTCTGCACTTGTTGTGTGAAACTTGTAATTCAATATTGGATTTTGCCTTCACCAACATTTGACAATTGTTGACTGCATGCTGTGATGTGGGATACGACGTTTTTTAAAGCTATAGTCCATCATTTGCAGCCATCCGAAAAGTAACTGGCGTAATTACTGTTGAAAAACAAACTTGGTTGAAAGACAGTAAGGGAACTAAACACCCTGTGAAATTATTCTTTCTGGGAAGCTGTCATTTTGAAGTAATCAACGAAAGAAGGCCTTTCCTACGGTGATTCTTAAGAAGCACCGTAGGACAATTTAAATTAGTAGTTCGTTTTGTTATTCAGCGCAGCGCGCACAAGTATTGGAACGACGCACACGCGCGCGCGGTTGTTATAATTCGTCGGATCAGTGCACGACGCCGCGTATAGCTGCAATTCAAAACAATTCAAAACATGATTCAGTAACTTTTGATTTGAAATTGAGATCTTAGAATGCTGCTTTTCTCGGAATGTACAGCTGAAGCTTAGCTGAAACTTCATCAGGTTAGTTGCTCAGTATCCTTCATTAGATTTTGAGCACTTTTGTTGCTTCAAACGAACAAAATGCACTAATTACAAATGATGGACTATATCTTTAACACCTGAGGGTGCTGTGCGCCTTGAGGGGGTTCAAAATGGCATGCCCCACATCACAGCAGTCAACAATTGTTTTGTTATACCGTGCCAATAACTCAAAAAGATCGATGGTTGTTACTTTAGGCGAGCCATCAGATAACAGACCGTTCGGGTACCGGGTCCGGTACGCTAATTTCTTTCACCCCAATCGGTACGAAGCCAGAAGCCACCCGGTCACTGAAGCGTGACGCCCCAATCGGCCCAAACTGGTGATTCAGGGTTTCACAATAGGCAACATAAATTGAAGTCTGGCCATTGTTGGAGGATTATTCGGTACCCTGGGATTACCAGCGGCAACTTCTATGAAGCTCATCACAGTCATTGTTGCCTACTGGAGGATTAGCGCTTCCCAAATTGGTGGAGTTAATCCAGGCCAATTGGTTCCATGCAAGGTCCCAATCCTTTCAACATACTGGGCGGGCTCAATCCCGAACGGTCTGGGGAGGGATTCTAATTTGTGGGCTCGCCTTATGAGAAATAAATAAAATCACTGCGATGTAACCGTTGATAACTAAGGCGTCTGCACCAGTAAACAGGATGTCATAGGTTCGAGTCCCACCCAAGTAAACATGATTTTTTTTCCCACAAGACCTCGGACAGCACTGAGTATATCTGTATACAGTGTTTACAACGTATGCAGGGTTAGTAAAAAAATAAAAGCGGAACCCAAACCTCCAAAAATATATTTCATATTTCAAAAACGATGCAGCACCAAAAATAATAATGACTGGAAAGCCAATTTCATGAATAACTTAAAGATTAAAAAATTACTGAAATTGCTCGATCTTTAAAGAATATCACCATTTTAATGGAATGACCCTAAAACCTGTTTCGGCAAAACCAAAACAAAACCAAATTTATTGTGTGTTCTGACAGTTTGAAACAACAAAGAAAATGAAACAGAGTAAGTGTTTCAACAAATGTCAACAACTGAAGTACACAATATCTTTATTAACAACCCTGGTTAGGCAAATAATGTGATTCATGAAATTCACCTCTTTTTTTTCAAAAGACGGACCATCAATAGGTCTTTATTGAATATTTTTTAACTTCTAAACTGAGGTTTTATCACTGGTGATGTTTGGAGACAATTGTGACGACGATTCTTGAAATTGCATTTTTGGACGAAAGACGTTTTAGTGTCATTGTGTTTTAATGGTATACACTTTGAACGAATTGAGCAATTTAAGTAGTTTTTCATGAAAAAGTAGTTTTTGAAACTGCCTTTCCCGTCATTTTGATTTTGGTGCAACATATCTTTTTAAATATGAAACAAAGTTTTGAGGATTGGGTGCCGCTTTTTTTTACTCGCCCTGTGTCAGCGAAGGGGAATCCAAATATATGGTGGCACGGGTGGCTTGTGCGTAAAGCGCTCGCCTCTCACTAAGGTGACCACGGTTCGAATCCTGGCCGTTGATCGCATGTGAGTAGAGTTGTGCGTTGGTTCTCTCCTGTGCCACGAGGGTTTTTCTCCGGGCCCTCCGGTTTTCCTCCCTCTGGAAAAATCAAACACTTACGATCTCAGGCTGTGCTCCGTGGTCATATATGGGTCAATGTGGCCGGCAGCCAAAGGCGCCTTTACGTGCCAGCGGCTTGACCACGTTGTAGCCGCGTCCTTCGCAATTCAGCATCCCAGCTGCGAGTAAGGATGATTAGCCTCCCAAATTATTATTATTATTATTATTATTATTATATAAAAAAGTGAAATATTCCAAACGAAAAATTACATCATATTCTTATTTTCTCAAATAACCTTGAAATTCTAAATTCCGATCCTAATAAAGGGAGCGGATGCCACCCACAAGCCCCAGGCCAGCCAAGCACTCCAGTCACTCTACGAGAGGAGAGACGACGGCGCGGAACAAGAGACGAGATTAAACGATACCATCGGACCCCTGCTGCAGCAGTACTGGGCGCTGCACCGAGAAAAGCTGGGCGTCTGGGATGCGTCGTCCGATGTACGTGATTCTTGGGAAGGCCTTCGATTTTATACACGTATATGATTAAAATGTAACTGCAGAGGGTGAAATTATAGTCAAATGCTCTCCAACTATTTGCCATACATGTATTTGACTGAATGAAATTGGATGAGTTTGGTAAAATGTGAGGCGTTCTAGCAAAACAAGATGGAACTGGGCAAAGGCCGTAGCAAAGAAAACTGAAAAAAAAATGGTGGTGATTTTTTTTTTTTTTTTGATTTTCAGATTTATATATGTAATCATTGATATGTCTACCACAAATATATTAAAGAAATAGTACCAAAATCGTAAATTACATGTAAATGTGTTTTTTAACCCGAACTGCCCTGAATACTTCAGAATCCTCTTTGCCAAAGTGGAGGAATTTGGAGGATTTGAGGTTACATGGCAAAAGTTACTGATTTCGTAGGATGTACTTTGTCAAGGTCTTGGGCTAAACCTTGTGTTGTTCTTGCTCAGCCAGGCATAATTATAGGCCTGGTTTATGCTTGAAATCCCCCGTACTGCTCAAGGATGTCACTGGCCAAACCTCAACATATTGACAGTCACTGCCGTAGGATTTTGCAGGATTCAGGCAGTGGTCACCACTCCATGGACCATATTCACAAAATAATCGAGGAATTTGCAGGATTGAGGCTATATGCTATTTTTCCTTGATGCCAATTTGAAGATTTTGCAGGATTGAGGCTACTTCCTAGCGAAAAGGCCTAGGGAGTCGGGGTCAAAGAAAACAATTGGCATCTTTCATTTTCACAATTGCAAAACTCAGAACTTCAGACTGAGGCTGTATGTAATTTTAACATGGAGACAGTTGGAGATTTTACAGGAATGAGGTTGCATCCTAGCAGAAATGTCTAGGGAATTAGGGTTAATAAGATGACTCCTAACATGAACATGTTTCATCTTTCGTTTGCATCATCTAGGAAGCACAGAAGCCATTCACAATTCAAGAGGCTGTTTTGAAACTCTTGGACAGCTCCTTGACCCTCTCGGCCAATCGCAAGAGGTCTCAGATGACTTATCTCAGCCTGAACGCTCCGGTGGCAACGCTCGCCTGTTTGCTGGATGCCCTGAACATCGGCAAACTGGATGACAACGGTAATGGATTGAGGACTTTCACTAAATTGTGGAAGAAATTAAACTTAAATATTCCTTAATGCACATACATGTACAGTCAAACCTGCCTTAGCGACCCACTGTACACAACGACCACCTGTCAGTAACGACCATTGAAAAATCCCGCGCTGACAAATTCTGTTACTTAAGTCCTGTATAGAACGACCACCTGCTTAACGCAGCCAGCGCCCACAAATTTTGCTTCTGTAGGAAAGCTAAAGTCTGTACAGAACGACCGCAAGCCATGAAAAGCGACCGCAAGCCATGAAAAGCGACCGCAAGCCATGAAAAGCGACCGCAAGCCATGAAAAGCGACCGCAAGCCATGAAAAGCGACCGCAAGCCATGAAAAGCGACCGCAAGCCATGAAAAGCGACCACAGAATGCCCACTTGCTTCTGTACAATGGTTGATTCCTTACTCAAAAGCAAAAGCAAAAGCCACATAAACCACTTCAAAGGATTAGTAAATCTACCACAGGATTTCTAGGACATTTTCAAGCTTAATCTGGGTCTGTGGTCACATCAACAATGCACCTATTGTCAGTGCTGCAGCAGTGGCATGGCTTTCCCTAGCGCTAGCTCCAATCAACAAAAAAATGCACTGGGCATGTGCATGACTTGTGACCTGTCAGTCTCCTTCTCTCACATAATTTTGTTATCATTAAAATAAATTTAATTAAAATTTGTTGTCATGTTTTCTGAAGAACAAAAAATAACACAACATACTCAAGTATTTTTGTTTGTCAATTTTATTGTTCAATTTAATTTTTAAATCGTGAAATAAAGTTTAAGTTTGTTTGTGCTCTAGATCGACCTTTGAGCTTTTCAGCAAGTTTGCTGGCATGGGCAATTTTGCTGTGTTTACACAACATCGCATGCGTAGATAACTTCTGCTCTGTCATTTAAAAGGCGAGTTTGTTCCAATAATGCTTTTGAAATGGAGAGAATATGGCTCCAAATTCTTCAAGCCCGAATCCTGAAAGGAATTATTGAAGTTAGCTTTCACTTCAATTTCAAATGAAAATGGAGGTCATCAGTGCAGCTGAACGTGTGATCGTCAAGAGATCGTTGTACGGCCCTACTTTTACTTGTGGTTGTGATGGTATTGCTGCTCCAGCACAGCTAATTCTCACATAATATTAGGCACAATTGCAGAATACCCCGCCACACACCTATCCCACCTCGTATCCGGTTACGCGGATACGGAGTCACGCTTGGATGCTCAACCAAAACCACACTCGTGTGCCAACCCGCATCCCCGTATCCGCGTATCCACTTCCCGGCACCTACTTTGGACTTAGACGTTTTTCCCCTGCTCCCCATTCAACTCACGTTGTCTCCGCCTTCGTTATTTTCCAACATGGATATGGATGCTTCGTTCTCAAAAATATTTTCCTCCGCTAAAAATAAAGTCCACCCCGTATCCCTGTATCCGCGTATCCACTTCCCGGTACCTGCTTTGGACTTTTTCTACCCTACTCCCCATTCCACACTGACACACTCACTCATCAATTGCCCACACCAAAATAGGCCTACTTTAAACTTGGACGCTCTTGCAAAGATCTCCGATAGCGTATCCATTCATTTCAAAAGGGTCATTTTCGAGTGGCGGGGTATTCTGCAATTACTCCTAATATTAACATAAAAAATTCAAAACATTTTAAAATCATTCACAGTTTATGACTTTTAATTTTTATTCATTTTTTTAAGCAAGAGTTACGTATATAACTAAAATAAGGAAGAACATAACGTTCGATAAGGCAGGTTTAGACTGTAATGACCCCCGCGTTACGTTAGGGAAGCCAAAGGGAGGGCAAATATTACCAACCTGTACAGAGAGACCACCTGTCTATAAAGACCGCTTTTACCGTTTCCCTTGAGCGGTCTTTCTGTACTGGTTTGACTGTATATGAAACATTACCAGTTTTAATTGGAAATCCAACTTTTTTTCGAATTCATTTCCAAAATTCTTATTTTTCTGCTGATCTTTTCCCCTCCAGGCTCAAAATCTGATTTTTTTTTTTAATTGAATATAAATGGAATTTCAAAACGGCACTGCGACATCAGATTGTACAGATTGTACGACTGAAGCCAAGATTGGAGTAGTTTATGGCTGAAAATTATTATTATTCTTGTTATTTATTCAGCATTAAAAAACACATACAAACAACAAACATTCACAAAATATTAAAACAAAAAACAAGCCATAGGCAAACTCTGTTCAAAATAATCTTGAAGCAGGAAAGCTTTCAGCCTTTCTATTGGTCGGTAGTGAGATGTTTATATAATTTATAATTAATGAGGTTATATTGGCCCCTGAACATGAATACTAAAGTTGTTTCCATTTTGTTGCAGGTCACATCGAATTCCATGCAATCCCATTGGACGAGGAGGAGTTGGATCCGTCTCTCCCGCCCGTCTCATTGGCTGTGAAGGCCCCTGAATCTGAATCGGGACTGCCGTTGTTTGAGATTGTTTGCAGGCTGATGTTTAGAGAATGCCCTACTCAGCTGGTAGGCTAAAAATTCACTCTACGTTTCACAATCTTCTTTATCGTTTAAAGTTCCTGCTGTCTGGCTATTGTCACCAACAGTCAGATCATAGTTTCAAGTAAGCACTGTGACTAGTCAAATTCAGGCAACCGACAAAAGCGGGCAAGTGGTAGGCACAGCTGGCTTATCAATCACCTACAGTCAAAGCTTAGTTGTATCACGTTACATAAACAGCCCCAGCCAGTCCTGCTATGTAGGCTGGGAACTCTTAACTGTTTAAAAACTGTCACTTGATTGATTTTGACCGAAAAGACAACTTTGCACAGTATGCTTGCATACATGCAGGAGGGTTAATACAAATAAATTTAGTAGCATAACGTTTGGATCCATTTAGAATCTAATGAATTTGTCTATTATCGAGAAGAGTATCACCAGTCACCGTAAAGAAAATGACAACAGATAATTCTGTTCCAATGTTCGGTTCACACAGGTTCGACACATACCTCACCATTGTGTCAAACGTTTTTTGTCTTTCCGTTTAGGTTGAGTTCGTGAACATGTGCCAGCAGGCAAGGGACAAAGTGTTGGACGTCTCGGCCTTCTCAAGAAAGAAATCAACAGTAAGTCCTAGATTATCACACTTCCCATCGGTATACATCAGCTTTTACAACCTCCAGAGTCCTGACTCGACCAAAATATTGGAATATGAGGTGTTAAAGTTTAGAAAAGTTAAAGTAGTAAGGGTTAATCCCAGTTGTGCCATTAAATAATGTGGGTCTTAAATTTATACTTTACGCAAGCACTTACTTTTTTAACCCTAACTCCCTAGGCCTTTTTGCTAGGATGTAGCCTCAATCTTACAAAATCCTCCAACTGGCCTCATGGAAAAATAGCATGTGCCTCAATCATGCAAATTCCTCCATCATGCAAATTCCTCCATTATTTTTTGAATATGGTCCGTGGAGAGGTGACCACTGCCTGAATCCTGCAAAATCCTGCGGCAGTGACTGTCAATATGTTGAGGCTTGGCCAGTGACATCCTGGAGCAGTACAGAGGATTTAAGCATAATCCAGGCCTGTATGTATGCACGGCTGAGCAAAAACTGAACAAGGTCCGGCCCAAGACCTTGACAAAGTGCATCCTATGAAATCAGTAACGCACTTTTGCCATGTAACCTCAATCCTCCAAATTCCTCCACTTTGGCAAAGAGGATTTTGAAGGATTCAAGGCAGTTAGGGATGATACATTATTTAAGCCTTTTTCTTGGGGGGGGGGGGGGAAGACATGTAAATCTGACTTCATTTCCTAGGTAAATAGGGCTAAAGTTATACACATCTTTTTGAACAGTCATAATCCTCATTTCTGGCTTTCCATACTTCCATAATTCCATGATGTTAATCTTTGTATTGTAGCAGCAAACTCCCCTGTGAATTTCATATGGATTTGTCTGCGTCTGTCATCGTCTGTAGGTTCAGCTGTGTGATATTGCACTTGGCAGCTTGCCAGGACCAGACCATTCTAGAAATCAGGAGGGTGCTGTACTAGCCACAGCAAAGCTAATGCAACTCAGGTAATCAAACAACCATCGTGATATTAATATTTGAAAAAAGGAACTGACTGGAGTGGGGTTGAACCTTCGGATTGCCATTCCGGTGCTCTACCAACTGAGCTATCCAGCCCTGTATTGACAGTTCCCCATTTTGTCAGTGTCTTTGTTCAAGGGTCGGTATTTTTTTGTTTTAATGGTAGATTTTTGAGGGTCCAAGCCGTAAACATGGTATATTTTGATACAGCCAAATCTCAAATAACCAGAAGTCAATCATATGCCAGAGGGAAGTGTGGCCTGGTGGTTAGGAGTTGTTCCGCGTTATCAAAGGGTCAGGGGTTCAAATTCGGCTGCTGCCGTTTTGTTGTGTCCTTGGGCAAGCCCCTTTTCCATGACTTGCATCTCTCCACCCAGAAGAATAAATGGGAACAGGCATTAGCTGGGAAGTATCTTGCAGTGGGCTTGCATCCCGTCCAGGGAGAATAGAAATATTCTCGGTCATTTCATGCCTAGGAAACCAGAGATAACACCAGCCTCATTAGCCCTATTGGTTCAGGACATACCTGACTTTACAGTCATAAGTCAACTGCATGTATTTTCAGTTTTAATAACAAGCTATTAACGAAACTGTGACAAAACCATTACTTTGTTACTGTTCATTTCCTAAATATTACTTGTTAGCCAGCTTGTGATTTGGCTTGTGATGGATTTGATGGACTTGTGATTTATTCATGATTGACTTGCGATTTAACTGCATTGACTTGTGATTTGCATTGATTGACTTGTGATTTGCACTGATTGACTTGTGATTTCACATGTTTGACTTGTGATTCGACATGCTTGACTTGTGATTCGACATGCTTGACTTGTGATTTAAACATGTTTGACTTGTGATTTGAATTGAATGACTTGTGATTTGACATGGTTGTCTTGTTGGTTGATTTGTGATTTATATTGATTGACTTGTGATTTGACATGATTGACTTGTGATTTGACACGATTGACTAGTGAATTGACTGGATTGTCTTTTGATTTGGATTGATTGATGTGTGATTTGACATGGTTGTCTTCTGATTTGACATGATTTACTAGTGATTTGACTTGTGATTGACAATTTATTGATTCGATCACATGTCCATCTTGAAAAGTCTGACACGGCAAGGTATAAGTTCTTATCCTTCGTTTTCCAAACAGTGCAATGTCTCACGGTTCTAGTTCTCGGTCTTCATTTCCAAACAGTGCAATGTCTCACGGTTCTAGTTCTCGGTCTTCATTTCCAAACAGTGCAATGTCTCATGGTTCTCTGAATGCATTGAAGCTCCTCCTGAAGCACAAGCTGTGGTGTGAAGCCATCTGTCTAGTCCAGGAGAAGGCTGACAACACGCAGACCCACTCCGAACTCTTCCATGTCCTGCTGATGTCCATACTGCAAGTACGTAAGAGTGTTGTTTTTCCATGTCCCTAAATAGTGATAATAATAATCATACAAAATGATTACAAGATGCGCAGATTCTAAGTATGAAAAATCATTCAGAGATGTCAGTTCATGAAAAGTCACTATTTGTAAGAGGACAAATTGGTTACACAGGTGATTCTTCATATTATATTTGAATAGAGATGGGTCTTAAGTTGCCCTCAAAGCATCAGGTTATAGACTTTCAGAGTTCCGTCGCCAGATGAGTCTTTTTCAATTTTGCTTGAAAACTATGCTGTGTTTTATTGATGGGGGGAATACCTTTAGATACGGAATGTGTTTAAATTGTTATTTCTTTGAAACAGGATCGGGAAATAGTTCCAGAGTATTACGAAAGGCTGTGGGCTTGCCTACCTCAGAAAATCAGGTGTGTGTTTTGATGATATGTGACCGGCTCCACAAAAAAGGGTATCAAGTCGCACTGAGCATTATCGTGTAATGGCCTGCTCAACATTGAGAGGGTGAAAATTTTGTCAAAATGTGATTTTCATTTTTTGTCATGAATGACATCTTTAATACCTACAGTTTCAGGTTTCATTCACAGAAATGTTGATTTTGATGAACAAAGTGGAAAAAACAACCATTTTGTGTACCTCGTTCTGTTGTTCTACAACAGAGCCAGCTATTTCAAAGCCTGTTTTCTCAGTTGTGTAATTTGAACTCCATGGAAGTAATTCATATGCAAATACGTCATATCCCAAATAGTCCATCCCAGATTGGGATGGACTATGGAGCTCTATTATATACCAAATGAAGCTTACGTTGTGGGCTTTCCAACCGTACTCAATTTTACTTTTTTGCGACATAATACCCTTTTTTGTGGAGCCGGTCTCATTTTAGCATTTACATAAGAAACAAGTGCAAGTGCACAATAAGCTCTGGCTGTCTTCAGGAGAGTGCCTAAACTCTAAGAAAATAAACACATATTAAAGTATGAAGTGCAAAATCAATGAAGTGTGAAGTTTCTTTTCAGAACCATTCTCTTAGTTTTAGATATTTTTCCCACATGGTGTTTCCGCAAACCTTTCATTCATTAGTACCTACACCACCAACATGCAAAGCCTCAAAGCTTACTTAAAGGTACAGTCCACCATTTGTAATTTGTGCATTTTGTTTGTCTGAAGCAACAAACTTGCTCAAAATCTAAAGAAGGGTGCTGAACACCTAACCTGATGAAGTTTTAGCTCAGCTTCAGGTGTAGGCTATATTTCGAGTAAAATAACATTCTAGGATCTCGCTTTCAAATCAAAAGTTGCTGAATCATGTTTTGAATTTGGCCTGAATTCAGCGTCCGAGACACGTTCTCACTGAGCCGATTGCAGCTACGCGATGTCGCGGTGTGTGCTTCGTGTTAATGATTGCGCGTGCTTCGCCGAATAAAAAAATGAACAATCTTTAGACGCATCGTTGGAAAGGCCTTCTTTCGTTAATTTCTTCAAAATGACAGCATGACAGAAAGAAGAATTTCACAGGGAGTTTAGTCCCCTTACCATCTTTAAACCAAGTATGTTTTTCAACAATAATTATGTCAGTTACTTTTTTAGATAGCTGCAAATGATGGACTGTAGCTTTAACTTGATAATCCTTTCTTTTTCTGTTCTGTGTCAGCTCCCTGGAGTTCCTGAAGCTACTGACCACCCACCACCAGCCCAGCAATCCCAGAATCCACCTGTGCCAACAGGTGCTGTGTCGACCCCAGGATGACCTCCAGATAGGCATGGTCAGGGATCAGCTCATCAGTCTGCTGGGCCGAGAAAAGGTCACAGGTCAATGAACCGTCAATGTTATTCCAAAAACAAAATTGTCTGAAATAATATGTGTATGTATTTTTGATTTTGATGGTGCTTTTGCAAATAGTGGTGTGATCCAGATGTTTTTGCTTTAATTGATGTGCAATCCAATCAGTATTCGTTTTTGGTTGTGAGATTTGCATCCCATGCAGATGTGATGTGACAAGCCAATATTGCATGTGGCAAGCCAATATATACGTGTACGTACGTGTACCTTCCATGCTAAATGTGAGGCGTTTTGGCAAAATGAGACGGAATTGGGTACAGGCCATGGTGTAAAAATATCAAAGAAAATGAATGGGGTGATTATTATTTTGGTTTTTTTTGTAATCTCAGATTTGTCATGAAATATTTTTTAAAAAATAGTGAAACGAAAGTGTTTTCAAAGATCAAACAATCAGCATCTTTCATTTTCACCACTGTATAAAACTCGAAACTTAAAGGCCTTTTCCTTAATATTCTACAATTTTGACATGTCGATAAATGCGAACTTTAAACAGCCATAACTTGTCAACGGAATGTCTGATTGAAGTGCAACAAAGAAAATTGAAAGGAGATTTTTACTCTCTGTTGTAATACACTCAAACCTCATTTTGAACTCTGCCCAGTTCTGTCGCATTTTGCCAGAATGCCTCGCAAATAACAAAACTGCACAGGTTTATGAAACCGAAATAGCTCTTGTATGGTACTTTATTGTATTGTAGTACTCTGATAAATCCATAAAACCATACAGTGCTTGGGCGGTTCGTTCGCGTGGTTCAGGGTGGCATGGGTGGCTTGTGCGTAAAGCGCTCGCCTCTCACCAAGGTGACCACGGTTCGAATCCTGGCCGTGGATCACATGCGAGTAGAGTTGTGCGTTGGTTCTCTCCTGTGCCACGATGGTTTTTCTCTGGGCCCTCCGGTTTTCCTCCCTGCGGAAAAATCAAACACTTACGATCTCAGGCTGTGCTCCGTGGTCATATATGGGTCGATGTGGCCGGCAGCCATAGGCGCCTTTACGTGCCAGCGGCCCGACCACGTTGTAGCTGCGTCCTTCGCAATTCAGCATACCAGCTGCGAGTAAAGGATGATTAGCCTCCCAAATTATTATTATTATATTATTATTAAAATGCTTTGGGATAGTACAGGAACCAAAGGGTTAAATGGTACTGAAGAGGTTTATAACTTGGTTGATGTAAGTTATAACCACTTACCGATCGTGTGTCAGTATCAATATATGTCCAGACTCTGGGGACTCCGAGTCCAGTCGTTAAGCACAGCACAGCGGTGTGAAAACTGTTCCCACGCAAGTGCGATGAACATCGGCCTACCGGTACAGCCAAATGTGTAATCTCTACACACGTGGCTCCGAGAAAATTCATGCAACAGTTCAACGAAATATGGTCCAAATCGGTTTGAAAACCTCAGCGAGTACAGGCCACAAAACTTACAGGATAACAGTCAATATTTATAAAGATGACGAATGTAACAGCTTTCATACCATAGTCTTGTAGAATAACTTGAGGCAAAGCTTAAGAAATCACTCAACAATTACAAAGTGTCACTCGTTTTCGAAGACCGATTGCAAGGTGTAAAGAAGCCTGTAAACGTGTACGTGTTCTACATAACAACCGAGGATCGACACACGAAGGGAGAACAACATATCCTTTCAGTCCTCGGGAGTTGGGTCTTGTATTGGAAATGGTCCTCTGTAGTAAGTTTGTGTGCTTTGTCTATGGGAGAGTGTTATATTACAGGGACAAAGGGAAACACAAGCATTGTCTTCGGGAGCATTTTTCCGTGTGCACTGCATGTAGGAAATCCTCTGGCATCCAGGCTTCAAATGTCGTGTGCTGAGTACTTGTATTTGTAATACAGGTATGTGTATACCAGGTCTTTTGTAGTAATAGTGGCTGTGGATGGACTTTATAATATTGGTAATCAATCCAAATCGTACAAGTTAATTGAATTTTTCGGCAGATTTTTGTTAAGGTTTGCTAAATAGGTTTTTTTTGTGGACTGATCTTCAGCCCTTTAGCTCTGAATAACTTTGTCATCGTGGTTTGAACTTCACAAAGTACTGTATAGAGTTCATCCTCAGAATTTGTTGCTGCTTCCGATGATTTTACGCCCTTGATGTGTGACAGTGGTAGATCAGGGCAAGAGGGGGGAGGCTAGCTAAATCCCCTTCCTTGCTTTATACCCCCTACCCCAATTAGCCCTTTATATATAATATATTTATATTAGCCCAATTAACCCTTCATAATAAGCCCCTCATGGAGGCTGCACTCGCCAGCGAAATCACACAAACCCGGAATATATCACACACGAGACCAGAAATTTTGGTCGTAGGAATCATTATAATTGATAATCTTGGCAGTCCTAATTTCATCTCACAAGCCCCACATAAATTTCAGCAACAAAAATAAAAGTTGCATTACAAAAAAAAAATGTAAAGGGCCACACCCATAGCGAAACGGGAGGCCGGCTCAGCCAGGGGCCCAGGACGCTCCACACAATTTACCAAATAAATAGAAAGGAAAACACAAAGTATAACTTATAAGAAACGCTGAGGAACTCGACGGACGACGGGTACAAATTATACAAAAATAACAACCAGCTGGTCAGGCATAGTGTTTGTAGCCTCATCAGATTGCATGGCATTTGATGAAAGCTGAGGTGCCCCTTTCTGTTTTCAGATGGTCTTCTTATGATTGGTGGCTTGGTGGGACCCGATTCAGGCCAGACGATTCCTGACTGTTTGGGTATCTTGGAAGCAGACTCATTGTGCTGTATGACACTTGATGGAAGCTGGGGCGCCCCTCTCCGATGTTGCTTTGTCTTCTTCGGCTGGGTGTGATGGGCCATTGTTCTGATGTGGGTAGTCTGTTGGTTCCAAAATGGACCACTCTTCCAAAATGAGGGGCCTCTCTGGCACTATCATGGAACAAGATGAAATGAATGGCAACACTCATTGCGTGTAACCATGGAGCTATAAAACACAATAGTCAATTCAGCAATTTTTTTCAGCACCTTTTACAGGCTTGTTAAAAAGATTACTTGCGTGCAACTTTCTGGTGTCGTTGTTGTAGCCCCGAATTCTCCCAGTTGTTCCTTGTCGTCTTGGCACATCTGCCAAGAAGTAAATCTTGCGTTCCGGGTCAACTGGGCTTGGTGTGCAGTAGACATCTCTACCCGTGTCATCTTGTGCCCGGTTCAGACGGTAGAACTTCCGATTCTGTGACACACCATTTTTCGTGAAATTTCCAGATTCATTTTTACACGTTTGCGTATCAAAATTTCAACATGAAATTTCACAAAAATTAGACATCTGAGAAAGGCAGCACTTTCTGACTAGCCTATAAAGAGGGTGAGTATGCTTCTAAAGCCAAAAAATCCTACAAACTAAGCCTAAATGTAAAAATCAAAATTTGGCAAAGTCGACACGATTTTTGTACATGTGGATGTGTGGCCTATGTTTACGGAGGCAGTCCAGTAAATAGGCCACATTTATGGGGCTATGTGTCTTCATGCCTACTTGCAGCCACTCAGCGATATGAACCGGGAAAATACAGACTCTTTGCCCAGCTCCTTGCAGTATGTGGAAGTGATGCACAGATGTTTAAGAATTCATTAATTACTTGATCGTCAAGCCAGTTCTTATCACTCAGTGGCTTCACGAGTTCCACAAATGTCCCATCTCTCTTCCGTGTACTGGCCTTAGCCTTGGCTTTTGAGAATTTTCGCAGTAGACTGTTTTTTCTCTCAATTGAAAACGCAAGACAAAATGTGAAAATGTAAGAAGGTGCAATGCACTGAAACTAAATAAGCTGTGATTACGTGTCTTTACAATCACTAAACAAGCCACTCACATTCACAATTAATTTGCTGTTTCCTTACAGCTTACTTGTTCTTCACAACTGTTTGTATCTATACTCTTGACAGGAATTTAAGTCGCAACAGTGGAAACTGTTCAAGCATGGGTTTTGTTGTACATTTTTTAATATGGTCATACTGAAGTGTCTATATGCCCTTTACAGAAAACGCTTTAAACCCAAATCCCCCCTTCCATTTGACATGCACATGTTTCTGGTCTGTAAAATGACCAGCAAATAGTAGCATAAGTTAGCATATGTTTGTTCGGCTTTTTTTCTTGTAAGTAGAACACTGGTTGGACATTCAGATTGTGCAGACATCACTGGTACTTGCTGGTTCCACCTCCGCGTGTTGATAATAATAGTAATACAGTTACTTATATGGCACTTTTAGCACATCAAAGCGCTTTACAAGGAAAACTGAACAATAATCAAGGAGATCAGATATCTGGAAATGTACAGATTACTGTGGGGATTTGGAAAACAAGTCTGAAGTGATGGTGAGTCTCAGATGTGCTAGGTATTTCTCAACTTGAGTTGAATGGCCGTTGATTTCAACTGATGTGAGGCTTTCAAATTTGTCAATTAGACCTCCAAGGGTAGCCTTAATACACTTGTTGTTTTCAGGACATCTAACAATGGCAAGTAAATAATTTCCCTGTTTAGATTTGCAAGTATCTTCACCAATGATTGTCAATGAGAAGTTGACAGGATGGGTTTTTTTTATCCCTGCACGTGTCCCATCTCCGCTCAATTTAATTTTCACAGTGCCATTTTCACAAAGATGGGCCTTTGATGGAATGCTCAGAATGGACACGAGTGCTTCTTTAATCGAGCGTACAACTCCAGTGAACTTGTGGCTACCTTGTTGAACATTCACATCAGTTAGAGGACATTGCTTGTTGATTTCTTTCTTTCTTTTCTTCAAGGCACCAAGTCTGGGCAAATGTTGAAAGCGTTGTGCCATTTCATTGTATCCTTTCTGAGAGATGTTAAACATTGTCTAACACAAACATCAACATCAATGTCATCTTGGGACATGTCTGGACTTGCACTCTTATCATAAAATTTAATTTCAGTCAAAAGTCTGTTTTCATCTTTCAATGTCAGACAAACTGGTGTAAATTGGGTATTTTCAGATGCATCTAAGACAGATTGTTTTATCGTCTGATGTTTTCTGAGTGGTGCCGGTGTTTTTGTGCACGTTTGTACACCAATGTTTTTTTGGCCCGTCCTCGTTGTCCTTGCTTTTGTTTTTGTCTGGGTTTTTCATACGTTTCAATTTTCTGAAGCACTCCTCTTTTTCATCTTTATTTTGATCGAGCTCAGCCTTGAGTGTATCAAGTTCA